ATGATCAAGGTAAGTGGAGCGGGTTTCCTGCCGAAATCCCCTCGTCCATCCTTCAGGGGATGCGGAGTGGCAGGGGGGGTTTTCCCTGGCGGACGAGGAAAGCTGTAGTTTACTGATTTGTATTTACAGATTTTAATGCTCTTAGTTGTTATTTATCCTTTAGCGAGGGAGATTTCTGTCCCCGAGAGGTTTATTGTTTGAGATTCAGAAGCAGGATGCGCGTGATTCTGCCTCTTTCCGTGTTCTTTCATTGCAGGCAGCATGCGTGGAAAAGAAATGATGAGTCGAGAGAGAGAAGGGGGGGGGAAGGGAAGGTGTATCATTTCCTCTGGCGGGGATTTCTTACTGTTTATTTGTAACATGGGACTCTTAGCGATGAAAAAGAGAAAAAAAAACTGCAGAGGGTATCATCTCCTGAAAGGCATCATGCCTTTGAGTTTATTATAGGTCTTATAATATGACCTATATGTTTATTATAGGTCTTATGTCTGCCATTGTACTAAAATAGACTACGGGTAAAACCCAGAAACATGTGTTTAGATGTTTTGAGTAATTGCAGAAATAACTTTAAATAACGGAAGAGGAGTTGTCGGTAGTGAACGCTAATGATGAGCAGCTGTGGGAACTATCCTTTCATAAAAGTCATGTTTATGTTCTTCTGCTTAGTGAGGCTGATCTGGGGATTAAAAAGAAGTCTTCCTTGTCAAGACAAAGGGCATGGAGATAGGACAGGTGCTTTTCAGTTAGATTGAGGGAACATCACAGCAACTTTATACCCTGTGGAACAGCTGCACTAAGAATAATTCTTGGGTTTTGAAGCAGGTCTGTGCTGGGCTGACTGTGAACTTCACAGCCACAGCCTAATGCCAAAGTTAACAGCTGAGGAAAACCAGGACTGAGTTATTTGCTCTCCTTGGGTAACTATAACAGATGGAATATGGGCACAACAAGTATGTGACTGGCAGGCATCTCCCCAGCTCCTCTGTACCTCTGATGACAGGCGTTACTCTCATCTCATCAGCATTTCTCACTCCTGGGTGGGTCTAGCAGAGGTGCAGGTGCTATTGATGATGGCAGGGCTAGAACGAGTGAGTGCTCCAGAGGCTCTGATGAGTCCCATTAGCACTTTCTGCAACCTGAGAGTGGCAGACCAGCCGTGGCAGAAAACTGGTCTGAAACTGCTCAGGGAAAATACCCGAGCAGCTGCCCCCAGCCAGAAGGCTTGGGGACAGAATGCAAGTGTGTCAAGGAGTGAGACAGGCTGTCATGCTTTATATCGCTTTTGATGTACCTGTTGCGTGTCTAGGAAAGAGGGCATGACCCCAGTCTCCAGGGTGTTATCCAGCACCTGGCAGTAACGCTCTGACATGCCCATGCAAAAAAAAAAAGTAGCAGGCAAGCCATAGACCTACCACCTACCTGCCTGTTTGCTCAAAGCTGCGCTGATGTCTTGTGGGGTTCTTCTCACCTGCACAAAACATAGCTTTGCTTTGTATTTTTACTGTAGAAAGGACAGCATGAAGCAATAGCTGCAGCAGTAAAAGTACTCTCTTGTCACTTGCAAGTGGTGTAGCCTTGGGCAAGTCAGTTCTGTCTGAGCCCTTTACTTGCCTCATCTGTTCAGACTGTAAGCACTTCAGGGTTATGGCTGTCACTGTGTATTTGCAGAGCATGTATCAAAGATGGAGAAAATTGCCATTTGATTATCACGATACTTACTTATGCAGAAGCCAATACGTTTATAAAAGTATCAGTAAGCAACAGCATTATTACAGCTCCTTATCCCTTCATCTCCCTTTTCATCATTTCCTGCTTTTAGTCACAACCCTCCCTTTCTCCTTGAACCATTTCGAGCCCAACCTCAACCCTCTCTTTCTGGCCTGTTTAAAGGAATGTTATGTATAAGAAATGAATTACGCCTCTGGTTTCTGCAGTCCTGTCTTGTCTGCCTATTGCACTGATTGTAACTGACAGGCCTAGCACTCCTAGCATTGTGTGATCCAGCGGATGTTCTGATTTTTCCCCATGGATACTGCATATTGAAGTCTGCTGCAAAGTCATAGGTGAAAAAGAAGATTGCAAAATCATTAGGTACCTTTAACACAGTTGATACCTTGCTAAACCAGTCCATAGGCTATATCCTTGGTTTAATTTGATAGATGAAAATAATTCAAATGGAATTCACTAGTGATGAATTTATCCCTCGGAGGGCAATGTTAGGGAGGGAGGTAAATCAGCTCATTAGTTGTGTAAGCATTCTGTTACTCTGAATTTGATCAGCCATTTTAAAGCAATCTGTTTGGTGTGGGCATTCTAAAGAACATACATTATTTTCACTACTTCCTTATGTTATACATGTTATACCATTTTCTTAAATGAATAATCATAGCTGAATGTATGGTGAACTGCAGATTATTAGTAGGTGTGAAGGCAGGAACCTTCAGTGTTAGAATGAAGGAGCTAAGGGGTAAATTCTGCTTGGACAGTTTACACAATTACTCTTCGTAGGCCACGCACATGAGGACTGACATCTTCATGTCACTACAGTGACATATGTACTCCACAGCACTAGATAAGGTCATCAGAGACTTCTATGAGTTCAAGCTACTCAATACTGATTGTGGCTTTTGATAATCAGTTGCGGTTATCCAACTGCTACATGGCTGTAGTGTAGAGATTAAATGCACAACCTTCATCTCGAATGTCTGAATTTCGGTGATACTTGGGCATAAATCAAAGTAGTACATGACCCTAATTTGTTATTCATAGTCACTTACATGCTTGCATCTTGATACCTCCAATTCTTACATAGGACGGAGTGAATGGGTGGTCCCATTTACCTTGGAAACAACTTCATTACTTTATGACTTTATACATTAAAGGGACAAGTAATATTACCTCATAAAATAGAGCACCTGTTGTAGAAGGGCAAGTCAGCAAATACTACCATATGCTATTGCAGATGAAAATCCAATGTTATGCTTATGGAAAAGGCCTAGTGTTGCCCTTCGGTGTGTATATCAAATGATCCAAAAGAGTTAACATGAACTAAATGATTGAAACTATCTTTAAAATGATCAAGAAGTTTTACCCATCTGTCTTTTGTGCATCTTGGCCCATAGTTTATTACTGTTTTTACAAACTAATGCCAGAATGCCCTTCCAACAGAGTTACTCATTTACTTTCTTCCCTTGAGCTCTGCAGTTTATTCCAAGTTTTATTTTAGAGTATACCTGATGCATTAATGAAGTGCAGCATATGACTTCTCAGTAGGTACACAGCTATTGCTAATTCAGTTTGACTGTTAGAGCATTTCACACAATATTTGATAAAAACACTCTGAGTAAGCACAGAAAATATATTGTTTTTCCTGGTATACGAATAGGGTTTAATTCCACAAGGTTCTCATTGTATTCATTTCCACTAGCATTCAGAGAGATCAGTGCCACACAAGTCATGTCTACTTGTTTAGTTTTCTTTAGATTGTTGTCTTAGGGGTCATCGCTTTTGTAATAAATGTTTGAATTTGCATTACCCCTACTGAGAATGACTTTTTTTTTTTTTTTAAACTTTGACACTGAGAGGCTGAGGGAACTGGGTTTGTTCAGTCTGTAGAAGAGGAGGCTTTGGGGTGATGTAATAGCAGCCTTCCAAAATCTAGAGGAAAATCAAGGCTCAGCAATGATGTATGGTGGGAGAACAAGAGACAATGGCATAAACTGAAACAAAAAAGGTTCAGACTGGATATAAGGAAAAAACTCTCCCCACAAGGACAGTCAGGCAGTGGAATGGGTTGCCAGGAGAGGCTGTGCAGTCTCCATCCTTGGGAGCTCTCAAGACCCGACTGGATAAAGCCTTGAGAAACCTGTTCTGAGCTCAGAGCTGACCCTGCCTTGAGTAGGAGGTTGGACTAGAGGCCTCCTGAGGCCCCTTCCAGCCTGGATTTTCCTACGGTCCTGGAAAAAAAGTTATGGTCTAAGATTTTTTTTTTTTTTTTTAATCCAGTCTTAGTCTTTGACACAGTAGCGTGGATCAGTATGTGTTTGTCCAGAGCTCTGCTTGCTACACTTTTAACAGTGCAAAGAACTCTGTGCCAAGTTGGTCTTAAAAGTCACCAGTATAGGCAGACTTCTTTGCAGAAGGTAATTTCTTTAACGTGTCAGTATAGCGGTAATATTTTGTTCTTCTCTATTATCTTGAGGAACTCTAAGTGCTTAACAGAAGAGGTTGAACAGTAATGTTGGTGCAAGTCTCTTCACAAGAATGCATATTTATTTGGACCCTTTGGAGTTTGTTTGTTGGGGATTTTGTTGGGTTTTTGTTTTGTTTTGTGTCCTGTCCTGTCCCGTGTTTCCCCCCCCCCCCCAATTTCTCTCTATTACTTATCACACTA